ATAAAAAAAAAAAAAAAAAAAAAAAAAAAAGTGCAGGACCTGCTGTTACTCCTGTGATGTTTTATTTGTCTGCTGGGCTTGCAAAATATCTAGTTAGACCGTGAGATTAGTCGAGATACACGCAAGCTAATCCGGACATCCACATTAATAAAAAAAAAAATAAAGAAAAAAAGGTGCAGAAGTGTTTAGGGACCCCTGCACTTGTCTTCTTCCCTTCCCTATAGCCTGACGACCCGACCAAATAACCGTGGATGGCGGATACAGAACTCAGACTGATATTTAACTTCTAGTTCTTCATTTTAGTTATTCGTCCAATGTTTATCCAATTAATGTCAGTTCCCCATTATCGGTCCCCAGACAAACACTTGCTTTTGGCAGGCTGATCGAGTTCCTCTCCTATGGTGAAACAGAAAGCATGACATCAGCTATGAACCAGTTATCATCATTTCAATGGAGTTTCATCTTCACATCTGATGGTGCTAAACAATGAGGTTCCACCCAACTTTCAGATGCAAGAATCTGTAACATGGATAGGACTTGTATAATTCCTGTGAGAAAATATGCACAGTGTTTGTCACCAAAACAGCTTCTTTGACATATTATTATGTTATTTTCACAGAATAATCATTTATACAACTTGAAAAAAAAAAAAGGTTACAATTGCCAAAGACCTGAAACTGTAACAACTTAAATAATTGCCAATGGACACCAGAATTCAAAACCAACCAGTAGTGTAAAGGGGGGCAATGTCAAGATGGTGAGAGACTTGGCTAAGCTCCGGCAGCAGCAAGCAGCAGATATTCAGCTTTCCCCCATTTCTTCTGCATTTGGGCCAGTAATGTTAAAATGACATCAAAAATTTACCTCATTGAAACATAATGCTGTAGGCGTTCAGAGTTTATGCCATTAAGTTCATATTATAATGGCTTGAGGCACTACAGGCTAGCTCCATTGTTTGCATGATGGTGAAAAGCTGAGAGCACAATCACTGTTCATTAGGTGCCTGCTTTTAGCGGGAGAAATGACTCTTGCTTGCCTTCGACAAAGAGAGCTAGCTCTTTTGGAGCAACTACCAACTTCAACCACTCTTGCAGCTCCTCACCTTCTACTTTCTCTTTCTCTGAACCAGTAGAAAAAAAAGAGCAAATGTCAGAACATGCAAATTACAGGTAGCAACTCTTCGAAACAATACAAACACTGAATATACAGTAATTCAGCATCACAAACAATTCAATACGCAAATCCAGAATCTAATCTACATCAACTTCTGTGGGCTGGGTAACCTGGATAGAATCCGATAACAAATACAAATTATGTTATCTAATGTAATGCATAGAGGAAAAAGTACACGCAAAAACCACTTACACAGTTTCACAATTTTAAAATTAACCATAGTTAATGGTATGGCATATTAAAAATTTAAAAGTTCAACTAGATGCGTAGGCATATTAAAAGTCCTAATAAAAAGGATGTGCAGCAATTATTGGACTACAACTTGGCAATTCATCAATAATATAATGCATTGCACACTCTGGTAGTGAATTTAAATGGCAGCAAGAACTACCTTCCAGATGGGCACCAAGCCCCTCCAAGACAGTTGGATTAGCACGCACAACAGAAAGTGCTACATCAAGGGCAGATTGCAGCAATGCTTTCACCTCTCTTTGAACAAGATCAACAAGATGCCCCTGTGGTGTTCAATTTCAAGTCAGTTTTTAAGCAGACTACTTGTGAAGGAAATGAATTTTAAATAACACAACACCTGATCCCTTCCCCATGGAGCAGCTCCAGATTCATCCATCCCTCCTCCAGAAAGTGTTGCTAGAGACACAGGACCTATTGTCTGATTAAGACCATATTCAGCTACTGCTTTGTATGCCATATCAGTAGCCCGCCGAATATCATCCAGGGCACCTGTCGAGACACGACCTGAATAAACAACTTCTTCTGCTGCCCGTCCTCCAAGAAGAGTAACCAAGCGGCCACGCAACTCATCAATGAAGAGCAAATATCTATCCTCGTTTGTTGGGGGTGTATATGTAAAGCCCAAAGCCCCTCCTGACCTTGGTAATATGCTCAACTTCTAATGACATGGAAAGAAGTAATTGTTACTGTGTTATCCATACCATTTGGGCAATGCTAAGTGGTCCAAATATGATGTTCCATTTCTAACTCTTTGTAAGTTCATATGCCCACAAAAACCCAGGCAGTCGTTCTAATAAAAAACCATATTACTTTTCAATATTAGCAAAGTTACTGGTATTTACCTCCATCTATTTATCTTCCTAGAAGATTAGAAATTTTTTTTCATTGGATAGTTCAGTTCAATGACTCTACAATTATGTGTGCAAACAACTAATAGGATTTGGATCTCCCAGTATTCCATATGTAAAAAATTTCTCCATGAAAGCCTATATCCCAGGCCAATTAGAAAATCAGACAAGAAAAAACTGAAAATGCAGTTAACAATCAATTATAACATCGTTTTTGGGCTCAAGTAATGTCCTCGCGCACGTGACAACATGACACCAGTATGGATATGCCATTAAGGGTGTCATAATTTCCATGGATACAGCTTCACAATTTGCAAATTAATACTGTGAAAAGTAACAAATATAGAAACCTACACCAAACAGTTGAGTTCCTGTGATGTTTATTACCTCTACGCGTGGCTGTCCAGTAAGAATATTAGCAACAGCAGTACCTACTACTGCATGGCCAGCTTCATGATGTGCAACCACAGCCTTCTCACTTCCTTGCAACTTGGCAGTCTTCTTCTCAATGCCCTATGAGAACAAATAATTGGTTCAGTTCTTCCATTATACTCAAGGTTTAAAAACTCAATTTTTTTTTTTTCAATTATAGCTGACTATTTATGACCATCAAAGGAGTCAGGGAAGAAGGGACCCTTGGTATCTTAGAGCACAAAGTCACCAAAATCAAGAAAACATAGAAAGTGGTCTGAATTATAAGTAGATAGTAGAGTATAATACACATTAATACTTGCAAAACAGAGGAGCTTGAGTAATGCAAAGACAGACAAGTGGAAAATGCTCTCCAAGCTTGTAGCAGATAACATTATATTCAGGCTCAAAGTATTTGAAGATACAGATAAAAGCAGCAAAGATCACCCAACAGTTGTAGAACAAAGGGCCTTCTGCATAATAGCAAATTTCGCTCTAAACAACTGTAGAGCCTCCAGGGGCCTTCTGTAGTCTCGTTGAATTAGCTTGGAGTCCTGTTTTATATTTATTTAGCTGAACATGCTTGTTGTTTACTTTAAATAAAGTTTTCTTAAATTTTATAAATCACAGGTATTTGAAATTATATTCACAGCTATCAGCTAAGTTATTTGTGTTGGGTCTTAGATCTGGACTACAAATGTTTGTGGGTCTTATTACATATCCTGCACAGTTGCATTTCCCATTTTAGGGAAGTCCATATACATTCACGATTACAAGAAATCCTGAATTTCATACAGTTACGTAATTTTTTCAATTCCACAGCAATTGTGCAGAAATTTCAAATGCTCTCTTCAGGACTGTTAAATGCAACCCTACTTCCACAGGTAATGCTCATGGGACCTTGGCTGTGATGCCTTAGGAAAATCTACATGTGCAGCACAGACTTTGATTTCATAAGCATCAGATATCAAATTAACTTGCTCCATCAAAACAACCCTTAGTAAAAAACTTCACACGGTAAACCCTAATTATCTATCAATCTTTCAGAATGAGAAAGGAAGAAAAACCCCAAAGCGCTGTCATAGCATTGATGCAGAACATATGGCAAATCTTGATTTTTCTTGGTGAATCAATATCAACTTTTACCTCATTAACAAGAAGTGTTAACACATATAAACACTTTGGCCATTGAAAACCTAGGTAAAAGTCACTCAAAAACTTTCTGTAGGTGTCCTACATGTCTTTTTGGGAGTTCTATAATAGCTGTCCTAAATCACCAACAGGAACTAAAATCTGAGAGGTTAAATTTTTATTAATTGTCAATCTCTTGTCAACAAATAAAAATGTCTAAACTATAAATCAAACAAGAAGAGCAACACCAGAGAAAACAAGAAAATTGATCACAAATTTCCTGCACCCCATCACCTTCCCGAAACACACAAACACACATAGTAAGAGAGAGGGAATTACAGCTATTGACCGCTCCACTGCCTGAATGAAATCAAATTTCTCCACTACTACTTTGTTTTTCCTTCCAGCCAACAAAGCAGCTTCGTTTACCAGATTTGCAAGATCTGCCCTGCATGATGTAAGAATTCAAAAGGTCACACAAGCTAATTTTGCCAGAAATAAGAGATAGAAGATCTAATATCAATCAAGGGGGGAATACCCAGTTAAACCAGTAGTCATAGAGGCAATGTCACTGAGGTTAACATCCTCTCCCAGAGGCAGTTCTTTCTTGGAAACATGTACTTTTAAGATGGCTTCTCTTCCATTCCTATCAGGTGTTTCCACCTAATGACGAAAAATCAGACAAATTCCTAAGACATCGGACATAGTTGAACTATACAGAGTGTATGTGTCCTGCCAAGATACAAGTGAATCAAAGTACAAACCATAACCACACGATCAAATCTTCCTGGTCGGCGAAGTGCAGGGTCTAACACGTCTGAGCGATTTGTTGCACCAAGAACAATAACAGCAGAGTTGCTATCAAACCCATCCATCTCCTGCAATGCATTTCAAACATTTCAACTTCAACAATGACATAGTGAGGATGTTTCAGAAATGAAAAGACTTTCAAACAAGAAGCATACAGTGAGCAACTGATTCAAAGTCTGCTCCCTTTCATCATTGCTAACAATGCGGTATTTTCCATCACGACTTTTAGCCACAGCATCTATCTGCACAAGGAAAAATGTAACTCACGTTAAGAAGTCCAAGGTCTTAAAACATTTAATGTCCAAACAAAATAAGGATTCTCATAATCTTACCTCATCAATAAATATTATTGATGGTGCCTCCTTCTTTGCCCGGGCAAAGAGATCTCGCACACGGGAGGCACCCATGCCGACATACAACTCAACAAATTCACTTGCAGAACAACTTATAAAGGGAACTTCAGCTTCTCCAGCAACAGCCTTTGCTAGAAGAGTCTTACCTGTCCCAGGAAGGCCCACCTGTAGGACAGACATATAATTCTCACTAAACTTATGAAAAATTTGAACTAAGGAGTCAATCATTGCAGCCTCTTATATTTATCTTCTCGGATCAGGCCAGTCATCACACAATATTTCAGCACACACGCATGCCAGCAGTGGTTGGGGAACTAAGCAATAACAAAATTAGGGAAACCCAGCGTGCAAGAGTGATAAAATACAGCATTTATATTTAAGGAATAGAATCACTGCTAATACAGTGGTTGGTGAAAGAGAATGAATGTCTATAAACAACTATCCAGTTTTTGGGTTCAGAGTTTACTTTCTCATGTTATCTTTGTAAATTGTCTGATCAGATGAACATTGAAGAGGACAATGAGATGATTGGGTGGAGTCATGCATGGCAGTTTATTTTAACTGAGACCAGCAAATTTGACATGTACAACTAATTAGGTGATTTTTGCAGAGATATGATCAACAGTCAACATGTTTTCAGGCAATAAACTTCCATATCAAGCTTTTCTTTCTTTACTCACCAGGAGAACACCTCGAGGAGGACGAGCACCAAGTCTTGCATACCTGTCTGGATTCCTGAGAAATTCCTGCACAGTAAACATCAGCAAGTAAAGATCATTTCCTGAATTAGTAGGGTGGATTCAGGAAACCAAGCAAGGCATGATGGTCCACTAGGAGTAACAAATAGATCCAATATAACATACCACAATTTCTTCTAGCTCTTCTTTAGCTTCATCAACCCCAGCAACATCAGCAAAAGTTATTGTTTCACCTTGCTCGGACACTTTTGAACCTCCAGAACCCCCAGACTTGCGGTTCCTAACCTGACCAGCTGTATGCTGCACAACTTTACATAGATCCACTCAAAATCTTGCTACATTGCATTAGGTTCAAGACAAATGAGAAGGTAGGATGAAGGTTCACACCTGAGAAAAGGTAACAGGGAAACGTTGAAGAAGCCCTGCAAGCACAGCTACGTAGAACAAAGCTATCTAAAAGGAACAGAAGAAAGTAAGTGAAGTTAAGCCTCATACAGTGAGATAACTCCTGCAACAACACATCATAAAACTTATAACATTTCTTTCCAACTTTCAAGGCATATGATGAACTTATTTTCCCCTTCTAACACATGCCTAGTACAGTGCAACAAGAACAAATGACTGCACAACTGTGCATGCAGATATGAGAGAGATGTGCAGTGTCCAAAGTTGGGTGGCACATTTGGATGAAAATAAATCCAAGAATTTTCAATGATCGCTTTAATTTGAGCTATTGTTAAGGGAAGTTCTTTTTTTTTTCCCCCTATTCTTTAATTTGAGCTATTGTTAAGGGAAGTTTTTTTTTTTTTTTCCTATCGTTGGGGTTTTCAGGGGAGTTTCCTCAGTTAATATTAAGTAAGATGTTGACAGTCAAATATCTAGATTCTCATTATTGTGATCACCCCATGCCACATCTTATCCCCCTTGTTGTATTCTTCCCTTCATTTTCCTCTAATAACATTTAACTTTTATCCAAAGAACAAAAAAAACAAGCAATAACCCATGCATCATGCTAGACAAATGCTAGCGATCCATGATCAACATAAATGGGGTAGAAGACAAGAACAACATCAGAGAGAAAAAGGTTAACTCACATGAAGAAATGTGATATAAGTCATGCTAATAGAGAAGCAACAATGAGGAAATTAGCTAAAAAAATGCTGCAAATTCCCTATGTGGGTTTTCAAATCGCCAGTTCTAATGAGAATTCTGTTAAAAAGTACAATTTAATAAGTGGGAATCAATCTAGGTTCCATAACCAACTATTTAACAATTAATGTACATAACAGTATCTCCCAGGGAAACAGAACCCCAGATAATTAAATTTCAAGGATAAAAATTTGCTTCTCTCAATCAGTTCGTAAATGTCCAATCCCTATCGAATGGATGCGTGCTTCCTATTTTTAACATCAATGCTAGTCTACTCTAGTAATGCTCTTAAAAATCAAACTAATGTAAGACATAAACTTGCACTTGTTGTATCAAACTCAACTAGCAAACTTGGAAACGAAATTAAAGAGGACAAGATTTAAACCAATTGCTCCTAATTAACTTCAAAAATCAAGAACATCAAATCATAACTAACTTCCAGTAAAAACTCACCAATGCTGAATTCAAGAATCCGCCGGACCTCTTATCAGGCGAACCAAACTCCACCTGATTCTCCAGCATTTTCTCATACGGAGTCTTAATATCAGTAGGCCTCGTCGTAGTATACAAAATCTTTTTCATAGTAGGCGTCACACTCCTTAACAAAGATTCCGAGTCTTGAAACTTGCTATCAACCACTTCACTGCTACTCTCTTGACCACTAACTCCTTCATCTTTCAACTTAAACATTATATGCACACCATCAACCTCCACTTTTTGCACTTGATTACCGCTAATTTTACCCAAAAACTCACTATAAGGCACGCTGACAAAAGTAGTGGGTTGCCTTGGCTCGGACCCGGGCAAAGGAATCCCGGGTCGAAGCAACCGCATAACGAACATAACAATCCCTAATTGCAAAAGCAAGACACCAATTTCTTGCGCTTGAATTAAAGGTTGCCATTTCCAATTCTGCTTCTTGGAAAACCACCATTGGCTTTTCCCTTGCTTCTCTCTCTTCTGCTTTGACCCTGAATTCGAAGGTGACGGTGATGGCGGCGGGTTGTTTTGTGGCTCGGTTTCGGTGCTTGTTTTCTCGGTAGAATCACTATCTTGACATCTGGCTAAGATTTTATAGTCTCTGATTTTGGTATTCGATAAAAAATTGAAGGATTTAGGGTTAATTGAAGGCAAAGTAAGGGAACTATTAACAGGGATAAAACGGTGGTGGAAAACCCTAGATTGGAGTCTACAACATTGAAATTTAACAGTAGACGTAGCAGAAATGTATGTTATTGGTCTTAGAGTTTCTAGCATCTTTGAAATTGATTTGTTTTGAAACCCTACTTAACATAACAGATATAAAGAACCGATTGGGTACGCATGAAATTTAGTTATACGTGTTTCCTGCTACAAAAAGAGATTTTTTTTGGTTAGGAAGATATTGCAGCGAAAGGGAGATATTAAAGAAAGAATGCTGCTGGATATGGTAATAAATTTACCCCGTGTTATTAAGGATAATTACAGATCAGTCCCCGGTCACACAAACTTTCTTTGATTTAGAATGCTTGGGGGGGAATGGATGTTTGTTGTATTTTAAAGTGATTTTTATTTAAAAATATGTTTTTTAAAAGTAATTATGTTTTATATTAGTATATTAAAGTAATTTGAAAATATAAAAAGGATTAATTTAAATTAAATAAAAAATAAAAATAAAAATTTTAAAAATATTTTTAAAACACAAAAATAAATAAAACTTTAATATATTTAGCCAGAAAAATTAAGATAATTTTAAAATTTATAAATCCAATTCTATAAATAATTATTATAATATTATATAATATTGGTTCTTTCAACGGAAAGTGGATGGAAAATACTTTTTATTTTTTTATAATTATAAAAAAATATTTTAAATATTAATTTAATTTTTTTAAATAGAAAATATTTTTAAAAAATATCTACAAAGAATATGTTCTACACTCCTTGTTTTGGTGGCTTCCGAGACACTCAAGTTAAGCCCATTTGTGTCCATAATCGCCCATTGGTTTGCCCATTTAGGTCTCTCCTCTGAAAATAATCTATTACGTGATGCTTGCTTTGTTTAAAAAAAAAAAACATTAACTAAAAAAAATATAAAATAGGAGAGATTTGCTATGCAGTAGTGGATCCCCTTTACCTGTTGACAAACTATTCACAAAGTTTTTATTTATTTATTTTTTAATGTAGTTTTTATTAGATCAAATTATAAGCTAATTTGTTAAGAAATTAGAGAATTGAAAAATGAGGGACCAAACTAGAATACATGTAGGGAATGGGTGTTTAAAAAGTTTGAAAAAAATATTTATTACAGTCCACATACTTTACAAATTAAATTATAAATAGGGTTTTTTTAGTTTCTAAAATTAAAGGAAAAAATCAATTTTAATTCCAAAATTTTTAGTGCTTGGTGTAAGAAATGTGAGAGAAAGTCAGCAAAATTTAGTGTTAAAGAAAGAAAATTTATATTGGGATCGATCTTAGATTAGGGTTTTTTACCTTGGTATTGCCATTAAAAAACAAATTTGATCTAATCTTGGTAAAAATTTTGATTTTGAGTTTTAAAATGATTTTTTAATTTTTTTTAGATTATGAATCTATTTATCAAGTTGTTTATAATATTTTCTAAGTATTTTAGATAAAAAAATAAATTAAAAATATAGTTTTTCGGTAGTAAAAAACCATTAATCCTGGTTTCCACTACCATAATGCTTGAAAATTGGACAATATGAAAGATGTGTCATCTAATATTTTTTTAAAAAAAATATACAGGGAGGGGGCTCTAAATATATATAAAAAAATAGCCCAATCATGTGGGCTCTAAAAAAAGAGCTCGAAGTAGCAACACTTTGTATTTTTAAATTATTATTTTTTATTTCTTAAAATTAATGTTTTTTAATATATTTTTTTAAATTATTAATTTTATTTATATTTAGATTAATATCTCTCATTTCTTTTATTTTGTTTAGAGAGTTTTTTTTAAATGATAATTATTATTTTTTTGTTATTGTATATACATTTAATTTTTGAAAATATTTTTCTAATTAATCAATATTATTTTTTTAATATTTTATATAGATAAGATTTATTTTTAAAATAAAAAACTTGCATAATTCTTATTTTATTTTATTTAATCAATTTAATATATATCTATTTCTATTATCATTTAATTAAATAAAAAATATTATAATAAATAAATTTAACAAGCACAACTTGATAAGTGTCTCATTTTACAAAATCTAACATCTTAATGGTTTCTTAATTTTTTAAATTTTATTTTTAATTATAATTTTTAATATTTTTTTATCTTAATTTATATATGTTTCTTAATTTTTCAAGTTTTATTTTTAATTATAATTTATGATTTTTTTATTTATTAACATCATAATTTTTAAACCTAACTCGGCCCAGCAGGTCGACCCGGTATCCGAGGTTGAAACCAGATCGAGTTTAAGAAAAAATAGAAAAAAAGCAAAACCTAGGGTGACCCGGCTAATCTGATGGATTGATCCAATTAAAAATTTAGTTGCAACGTTTGATTTTTGGTTTTTACTAAAACAACATTGTTTGGATTAAAAAATTGACCAAAACAAATAGAAAAAGGCAAAACCTAGGGTGACCTGACTAATCTGATGGATTGATCTAATCAAAAATTTGGTTGCAACGTTTGATTTTTATTTTTTACTAAAACAACGTTGTTTGGATTAAAAAATTGACCAAAACAACTCAGTGACCCAATCAAAACTCAGATCTTAGATCAAACCGGGTTTAAAAACTATGATTAACATGCATAATTTCTTATTTATTTGATTATGTATAGACATAAACTTTTTAATTTTCACTTAAAATTTTTTTAACTACGAAACATGTTAAAAAACTTATATATATAATTTTTTATTAAAATACAAAATATTTAACCCAGGAAAACACGATTATCTAAAAATATTGCATTCTAAGAAGAAAAAAAGAATAAAGGGAGGATAGTATCATGGCCAATCACTGCTTATTCTCTTTATTGCATTTCTAAGAAGAAAAAAATGTTTAACTTCTATTATTTTTCTTTTGTAACCAAAAAAATAAATAAATTGAGTCCTGCATCGCAAGAACGTTGAAAAAGAAAAATCTTTTAACAGTCTCCGTGCCTTTTAACACGAGAATGAGACTAGGAGATGGGAATCAGGAGCTAAAAAAAATCTCAGTTTCCACCGACGCCAAGGCCTGCAAGGAAATGAAATAAAATGGAGATATGGAGTAAAACAATGGGCTAAGATCTTGCAGGTCCAATCTCTTGCAGCAATAGTAACTGTCTCTGACTCCCTATACCTGTTTTTCTTTCGTTTTTGTCCCCTGTCAACCCATGAATCAGGAGAAGAACAGAAAAACACAAGTGGAAGTCCTAAATAAAAGGATCTCTCAAAGCTCACAACCAACCAAAGATTTCTAAAAATGAAATCAGTTAAAAGATTTTTCTTGGCTGTCATTCTTGGTTAAAGCTGAGCTGAGCTCTCATTGTCAAGCTCCCCTTTCTTTTTTGGGATCAGAAGATTGGCTTGAATCCTTCTTTTTGTTTAGGTAGCCATTGATATTGCATCTTCTGGTTGATGCAATAAGAAAACCTTTTCAAAGACTATACTTGAAATGTTAGTCTGTTAACATGTAGATTATTATCCTATGTAATGAGTTCCATTACTGGGAGTCTGAAACTGCAGATAGTTAAGAGGCAGCCTGTGAATTACATGTTTAAATTAATGTCAATCTCTTTGATTCTTTCTATATTGCTTTAGGGATAAAATTTTAAAATGGGTATTGATACAAAGGAATTTCAAGCTTTCATGTGGAGAGTTCTTAAACTTTCCATGAGTTCTTGCTCTGCATTTGTACAAAAATATCCATTTGCTTCAGGTTTTTCGTTAACCTTGCTGGCTTTATACTTGTTTTTTCCTTCCGTTTTCTATTTCTTGATTTACTCTTTAACATTTCTTGGTTGCACTGCTGTTTTTATCCGTTATTATTTGAATTCGCAAAAACATGGGGTGGTTGAGAGGAAGGAACATGGAGTATCATCTGACGCAGCTGATGCTGCCAATAGAGATGATAACTCTTCTATTGAAGCTCGAAGAATGTTGCAGAGAAACGTCAACGAGAATAAAGACAAATCGAATACACACGCTGTTAAAGAGGAAAAGAACATGGTTTCCTCCATGCCTTCAAATGATGATTTCATTGGCAGAACTGCCTTGGTCGAACAAAAACCGAAAGTAATCATGGAGGAGAAAGCGAGCTATGCTTTGAATAGTGGAGAAAGTTCCTCTTACAATGTTTCCCTTGGTGAGAATATTTCAGAATTCAGCGAGCCATCAAATCCTGAGACTGTCTCATTTGATGGCTTTAATGAGCAGCCTGCAAAACTTCTTGTTGGTGGTGAGGTGGAGTCGGAGAGCTCAAGCTCCGAAGTAGATGATGAACAAGAAGAATCAGAAAAGGGTTGCAAAAAGGCTGTAGAATGGACTGCGAATGATCAAAAGAATCTCATGGATCTCGGGGATTCTGAGCTAGAAAGAAATAGGAGGCTGGAGAGCCTAATTGCAAGACGTAGAGCAAGAAAGTCATTCAAAATGAGTAGTAGGGCTGCTCCAGGTACAATGCATCCTGTTTTGGTTGCAAGAAGCAACACTTTCCATGTTTCTAAGAGTTCAGATGACCGAATACCTAGTTCAGCCCCTTCTATTTTGTTACCAACCCAAAATCCATTTGACCTTCCATATGAACCATTTGAAGAAAAACCTAATCTCATGGCAGACAGTTTCCAGCAAGAATTTATGGCAGATCACCTGAAAGAAATGCTCTTCTGCAGGCATGAGAGCTTCTCTTTGGGATATTCTCCCCGCCTGGAGAACACACAATTAGATCAACATGAGGGCACAGGATATTCTAGATCTAAAATGCAATTAGGTAAGACAGACTTCTGTTTTAGTTTCTTCATCAACCAAGAAAAAAAATACCAGAGACCTCTGCTACTAAGACTGAATCAATAAACTTTTTTGCAGACAACGAAAATAATGGCCTGCTGGCTGATCATTCATTATTCCAACGTGGTGAAACCTTGCGCCGTGATGTGACTGTAACTGATCTTGTGACGGAAGAAGCCCGATCTTCCAATCAGGTTACTAACAAACGGGAACGGGATAGAGAAGTTGAAACCAGCAGAGTCAAACGCAAAGGTGAAAATACGGGACAATCTCATGACAAGGATCCAAGTTTAGGTGACGGAAATGATATTCAAAGGGACACAGATCTAATCAAGCAAAAGAAAATTTGGCCAAGACCATTTTCTTCTACAGAAAACATTTTTAATGCTAAGACAGCTGAGAATTCAGAATGTCTACAGCCAACAACGTTCAAATTTCCCGAAGTGTTCTATAATCGTGCACCGAACTCTC